TGCTCTCTCGCACGTCAAGAATTTGCGTTTTAAGTACTCAGTCTGTGGTAACATTTCGCAAGAAACACGATGATGCCACTAGTGGGTTTTCTGTGCATCGAAATTTGAAGCTCAACAAAAGCTCTCAAACTTAAGGCTGTAACGCAGAAGATTTGTCACGCCATGCTGACAGTTCGCCTCTGTATACAATCAAACCATCCATGCTTACCTACATGGAGTGCAAATGCATTAGCAGGGTTGCCACTTTGTAGACTCCAAAGCTGGAACAACGGCAACCCTGCCAATATATTTGTGCATTTGTGCATTGCAATGTGTTTGTGTTCTTTATCTTTGGGTGGTGAGTTTGACTAAGTATAAAAATGGACTCTCAGCGTAGCGTAGAGACCCTTTGTTGCGGCCTCAACTTTGAAAACTTCTTTTGAACTTTGGAGTTCATTCCAGAGAAAAACAGTGGCACCTGTGTTTTTTTTGTTTTTTTTTTTTTGTTTGTTTGTTTGTTTTTTTTTTGGCGGAATTACACTTAGAAAAAAGCACTTGCAAGAGCTCTATTTGAAAGCTGTCTCTAATTTGAAATCTGTGGATCAACCAAGATGTCATCGAGCCAAGGTCGATGCGATGATCTACTTTGACCAGAAGGAAAGTATTCAGAGACAAGGTCCTCCATTATAAAGCGCTCCTATGTGTGTCTTTGAATCTATATTATCATTACACACGCATTCATGTAAGAAATTAAATCATGATGTGTGGCAACTGAGAAATATAACATCTTCGTGATGATTTATTGAGAATTCATAAAACAATGTGTCTCTGTCAGAATTGACAACAACTATTCATGCTGAACGGAACTATATGCAAGTAATCAAAAGGAACGATGAAACTAATTTATACTAAAACTAATAGGCCCAGATGCATCGCGCATCTGGGCGCATCGCGCATCAGTTTCATAATTGGCAGACTTAATTCAATTACTAATATATGTATTTGCACTATACTGATTTGCACGAACGATGAAACGATCAAAAACTACGCAAAAAATTCCTTTTGATTTAATGCATTATGACATAATTATTTTAACATAAATACGTCCGTATGTTTTAAAGTTAGTAAATATTTCAATGACGAGCATTCGATCTTATTTTGAACCCTGCTTTAAATCGTGAAGTTATCCTCGATAACGATTTTCCATCTCGATTGGAATTCTGATATGATATTGAGTCAAATTTAACGAACTGTCAGAGCACGATTAGCCTCGACTATCAAAACATGATTTCGTGCCGGGCCTAAGTAGACCTACTCATGCCTATATCTGAGCATAATCTTACGCAATTTTGCGCCAATCATCTGTACACCTGATCAAAAAACGCACATACCGAAAGCTTCTTTACGCAGCCGTATGGATAATGTGGAAATTTCAAGCCGTAGTTGAGCCACGCAGATTCCTATTGTTGAGCCTCCTCGTTTCCAAGTGGCATCTGATTGCCTCGGATGGAATCAATCATTGGCCCCACGCTACTTCTTTGCTTATGAACCTTCATAGATTGCCAAATTTCGTTCAATAAAATACACGTTCTCACAGAAACTTGTGAATATTTTTGTTTCGACTCCTCAGAAAATTTAATTCGTAACTTGATTTAAAAGTATCCAAAAATTTCGAGGGTAAATATTTACACTGTTCCTGGAAAATGAATATTTTATCGGGGAGATTTGGCAACGTTCGAATGTTCATAGGGCGTTTTTCATTAGCGTGGATCCGCGGACACTTTTCTTTTAGAGCAATCGATCAACGGGAAACAGGTGCGAGACTGCCAGCTATGCATCACCGCCATTCAAATATCGGCGCCGATGAAGAGGTTTTAAATATGTGCATATTTTCACAGATAATCGCATCCGTCATGCTTTCTTTTCCCTTTTCAACGACAGCCAGTATCCACACTCGGCTCTTCACATTCGAGTACCTGGCATCTCGGTGTTGTCACACGGGCTTGAGAATCCTCTACTTCCACTCCATGCAGAATACGTCGATGGAGAATTTGCACGAGAGGATTATATTGCTTCCTGCAAAAAAGCTTGATGAACTAAGTTTATAGTATTTTTTTCAATATTTTCTCCTAAAATGGGAAATTGGAGAGAAAAAGATTGACAAATGAGAAAATTTACAGATTTGTGACGTCGTAGGGCATTTTCTATTTAAAGTAGTGCAAAAGGAAATTTTTTCACCATGACTATCATAGCCCATTTGGGAGTGGAATGTCACGTTATGAAATGGTTTACTTTTCTAACGCTGCGTTTAAGTCTCCAAGATCTCCTGTGTTTTTGACGCAGTAAAGGTGTTGAATTTTTTCTTTTTTTTCCACCATGGCTATCAAGGCTCACAGGACTGGAAGCATGGGAAGTTGTCACGTCATGAAATGGTTTACTTTTCTAACGCTGCGTTTAAGTTTCCGAGATTTCCTGTGTTTGTTTCGACGCATTGAATGTGTTGATTTTTTTTTTTTTTTTTTTTTGCACGATAGCTATCAAGGCTTACAGGACTGGAAGCATCGGAGTTGGCATTTCATGAAAAGGTTTACTTTTCTAACGCTGCGTTTAAGTCTCCGAACTTTTCTGTGTGTTTCCCGATTCATTAAACGCATGTATTTTATCATACTAAATACATATACGTGCATGTTACTTTACAGCAATCCCTGGCACTCTATGGCGCCCGACCGTCACTTTCCCACATCGATCCCAAATCATCCATGAGGGTTCGAGCACTTTAGCATCTCCGGTTCAATCCTATGTAACCATTTCATTAGGTACCCTCTGCACCCTCTCCTACATTCAACCCAATCAAGGGCCTTTTTCGGCTTACTGTTTCCTATTACTCTCTGGATCTGGCTATACCATATAAGCTGTAAACATTCAGTTAAAATTTATTCTGCTGAGCACCTCAGACGGAATAAAACACATGTATATGCACATGTACTCACACTTTGACAAGTTACCGAGAACGTCCCTGGAAATGCAACAGGGAGCCCTCCGGATATTTCCAGTTCCTGTCTCCTAGACCGGACATCTTCGGGAATCTTTGATATCTATATTCATCATCAAGCAATGAGAAAAGTCCTTCACGAGATTTGCAAAAATATCTTCGCAAAATATTTTAGGACCACTAGAATATATCAATGGCTAAAGTTTTAAAATGCGTATATTTTCGATTTTGACATCGCAATCTCCGCTTATGTTTAATTCGTCCCTCTTTGACATAAAGGTGCATCTCAATTTTCCCGTGAGCTTGTTCACCTTATGAATCTACGCTTTCGGAGGCCTATGTGGAAAAAGAGGTACGCCCTTACGTCGAAGTATTGTTCAAAAGGAAAATTAAAACTCAAAAGTCCCTTACATTTTATTACTCTTATCGAGTCAGATACGTTTTTTCCCCATGATATTTTCGTTTTCACGATCAGTCGAACAGATTTACCCGTAAAAAATGACGCCTGTAAAACCTTTAATCTACCCAATCCCACTGTTTTGGCTACTCATCAAGCAGTGTTCAGTTAGCCACAAAGCTGGATCATACCATACCTTTACTCCAAACCTATTCTTACACAAGGTAAATTCAGGCCAAATCTACTAGTTAAATAGATAGGATATACGTAAGAAGGTAAAATTTGGATGGATCAGTGCTGTATAATAATGGCAAATAAATTTGTTCAAAGCCATGGTTTATGGTCGAATAATATAAAACAGTAGAATAAGAACATTCGCACAACTCTTGAGCCTCTAAGATCGAAACTATCGGAGATTTATTGAGCTTTGGAAAGAGAGAAATAATAAAACGTCATCCACCATCCCGGCATCACATACTTCCGCTTCTTAACTTTGGATGTTTTTTCCTCGAGTTTTTCAACATGTACCATTCATAAAACCAAAATCTTCTTATTTTTTTTCTATTTAATCTGAGACCATAAAAACATGACATTCTCAGAAATTCAACTGATCAGTGAATTCCGTGGTTTTCTGCTTCATAATGAGTCAGTCCCTTATTTGTGACAGCGTTATTTTCGGGGTTTTTTATTACATGAAACTTACTGACCATACATTTATTGTGATGTTTAAAATATTTTCGAGTTATTTCACATTTTTTACATAATTTTTGTATTTGTTACTAATGTACAATGGTGTAATACTGCGCTGGTTCATGTAAAGGACTTTTCTCGAGAATTGGCAATCTTTGCCGCATCCCATAGACCACTTTCCAAGCTGACTTTCCACGCATTCTACAAACGTAATCACAGCAGCGTCTATGACACTTATGCATTCTCTATATGTATTCTAGTCATTGTTATCATATTGTGTGACTATTAATCGAAAGTGAAATAGCTTGCAAGTACACAAAGTTCTCTAAATCCCTTAATTTTTTAAGATCTTCAACATTTTCCGAAAATTCGTTCAAATTTGAATTGAAAAACTCAGTTTTCGATATTCAGAAGCAAAAGTATAATCAGTAATATGGAGTCGAATAATATTTGGTTTGAAAATTGATAGTTAGAGCCGTTAGTTGAAAAAAACCAAAAGATGTATCGTAATAAAAAATCTACTCTTAAATGACTGACTAACTTTGAGAACCTCTAAAAATTGAGGAACAATTGGACGTATTTAAATGAAAGGGAACTACAAAATCCATTCTGATTTGAGCCCTGAGATCCATAATAATACATGCATAACAGGGCTCATGTCATAATGAATATAGCTCTATTTGATTTAAATGCGTTCAGCTAAAAGTAATCTCATTATTTCTTGAATCAGTATGCTCAAAAGTTTACAACACTATTTTCCAGGCTCTACCAAGCCACTGGGAGTATGAAAGAATCATTTTCATCTTAAAATGACTGTCCCCGAGGTCTATTAGTTCTTTTCTTTTGAGTGATATAATATTTTGAAGGGAAATATAGATGTAATTGGATTCATTTTGATGCAATGGCATTATTAATAACAGAAATAAGAACAAAAAGTACATATAGAATTTAAATAGTTTTATTATACAAATTAATACAAGATTTGAAATTAAATTTAGAGAGGAAAGACAAGAGGAAAAGAACATGGGTGTTAACGGGGGGTGAACTGTTAGAAAGAAACAAATAAATAAATTAAATAAATAGATAAGAAGGAAGCGATATAAAGAGGGTAGGAATCTGGATAGACGGGGGAAAGTGTTGAGAAAAATTCTAATCTGATCATTGATCATACACTTTATGAACTAATAACAAATCACACAAAGTCCACAGACAAACATTCAACAATTTTACAAAGTTCGAGGAGCACTCAACCATTTACAGATATGTCATAGAATTTCAATAATACAAATCTTTGGAATCGGCACTTAAGTATACATTACAAATTTATTTGTAAATAAAATCCGTCACTTAAATGTTTAAAACTCCTATGACTCAGATTTACAACATAGAAAATGTATAAATTATAAATTAAATAAATTAATCAAAGTATTACACAAGTTGAAATCCAGGGATGGCGGGAATATTACAGTCCTGTCATCAATTGCAAGAGTTCAATTTCACGTATATACAAGAGCATTGGCAGCAAATTGTCCCGTATGCGGGGAATACAATTTCTATGACCGAGTTGATTTTAGCAATTTGAGAAACACATTATGGCTTTTTTACAACATGCATTCCACGGACATTACCAAGTATGACAAAATACTAATTATAATAAAGGCTTAACTCATCTAAGAGTTAAAGATTTTGATTTTTGTGTCTCTAACACGATATCCCCTACAGCTAACTTGCCAATAAGACAGTAATCTTAACAATAAAAAAACACAATGTTAATCTCCTGCGCTTCCTTCATTCAACTTAAGAATTGCATAGAATCTGGTGCAAGAACAACAAACTATCAATCGGAGAATGAGGTGGACTAAGAGGTTGGATCGATGTCATTAATTATGGTTTTATAATCTCCGATGCGTAACTTGATCTCAGAGAAAATACCGAGCAAATGCGCCTGATTTCTCCTCATTTGGTAAATTAAAATTTATTAGAGTGTATTCACCATCCAATGTGTATGATAAGTCTTTTCCGAAGATGCATCTGCATTGGAAAATAATTTTAATTTGAAAATAATGATGAACATTGGACTTTTCTTTATGTATTCTTCATAGAGTTTCGTTCAGATGTAATTAAAATAAAAAGCACGTTCACCCTACTCAGAAGGAGGAAAAAATGAAACCATCAATGCGGTCAATTGTTTAAAATGATTCTGAGCGACACATTTTGTTTAATAAATTCTAGGAAGAAAAATTGTTCTTTAGTCCTCATCAAGTAAGATTAAAAATCAAGTACTTGGACTTTCAGTGTATTCAATACAACATGAGAACAAGCGTAAGTAGAGAAACAAATATTAAAATAAAAATTAAAGAAAGAATGAATGAAACACTGGAGGAAACAGGTCGAATTCAGGTTTTTTTTATTTTTTGATGATCAGGGACTCTTAAAATGTCTCACTTTCATTCACGAAACGATAGTTTTATCTAGAAAAGTTGGTAAATTAACCTTCATTTAAAGTTTCCACTGAAGTGGGAGTTATGTTTCAAGCAATAATAATTCTTACATTCAATGATAGTTGAAAATATTCAAGATGACTGCCGACATTCTGCATTCTTTTTGGAGATATTTGTAGAAAACAATTTATGCTAACGCGCAACTACTCGTGTGTATAACTATTTTTTTACACTTCTTAACTAATGTAAAGTAAGTTAGCAAGCGATATTTTTTACAGATGCTTACGGTTCAGTCAGTTAGCATTCTCTATTGAGAGCACCGTCGGTCATTTACATTGGTAGAATGAAAAACCCTTTATGGAGTCAGTTCGTTTTTATACTTCTGAACAAAACAAAGCTCAGCAATTTTCACAATAAAATCCTCCAGATTTACAAAATAGATCATAATTGGATAGAATTACGAGCCCCTTGTGGATTGGTGTAGTTTTCAACTCAAGAATTTTTTTTTATTGGTGTACCTTTTTATTACGATATAAATTGATGTTAAGTTATCGGGTTAGTTAAAAAAAATTACTCAATATTTATGGCTTTACTCTGATGTACAAACTTCACTGAGTTTTGTTTATTTCTTTGAGGAATTTTCTATATTTTACTCCATCCTTTGGTATTATTGCCTTTCTCTTTTGTGTAAACCATTCGCACAATCTTGCATAGATGGTACTGTGCTCATTAAGAAACGATGTCATCATTATTGGAAGATCAAAACTACTTCACAGAACTGACTCTATAAGCTAGAGAGGTGTAAACATTGAAAAATACATAAAAATCTAATTTATTGAATTTGACTGTTAAGCATGTCAAAGCTCCAATTGATAATGGTCCAAACAAAGTGGTATTTAGAAATGGCTAAATTTTTCAAAACTTGCACGACGCTTGATTCGCGTGACCTAGATACGTCCATTGCATTATTCGCGATCAAAGATTTCAAACAATATATATTACAGTCGTTTCCAAATTGAGAAAAATTCAATTTCACGGCCGTGAAGATTTTTATGTAGATGAACTTATGGTAATGATGGTTCGTGAGCAAGTTTAAAGATTTACTTCCCCTGTGGATTCTCATTGCAATGTATAAAACATCCAGTAATGCTTTCCGGAAGTCTGTCGATCACACATCGTATCTTAGGTAATTGTCGTTATTACTTCATTGAGAAAATGGTCCGTGTTAAACGGATATCTGCCTTCGTACAATAAGGCTGGGTGAAAAAGACTAGAGAGTTTTCCTTGAAAGATTGCCGATGATGTAGAGCTTTAATGATTCAAGTAAGAATTTAAAAATTAATCTAAAATATTTAATCTGTTCGACTGAAGTTTTAGAGGACCGCTTGGTTACATCATCGACAATCGCTCGAGAAACTGAACCTCTTAGGACCAAAAAATTCATTGAAAAAAAACAATCGCGTGAGGCTATAATCCTTATTACATATATTGAAAAAAGTTTTCTGAATGTTCTAACGCGTTGACACGCGGGCCACAAATAAGGTAATCCCTGATTTAGAACTAAATTGAAGGATTGAACAGAAAATTTTAGACTTCTGACTAAAAAAGTGAAATGACCAAAACTTAATTAGAATATAGCAGTTTGTGAAAATCGTAACTATGAGGCTATTTAGAGAGTTTCAAGGCTGTAACAATCGTGAAAATAATACCTCCTCAATGATCTTCTGAAGTTCGAGAAAATAATTAATGATCAACTAAGTAATGCTAACAGATTGCTAAATGGTTCGTTTTCCCTTGCTTTACCTGGAATTTCGTGTCAAAATACTCAAGATTCCAGGTAAAGAAACAAAAATTGACCATGTCAGTCTGGCAACGCTGCGTTAATGATCATTGAAGATCTTAGCTCTGAGGATCATTGATGAAGTTTACATTTTACTAGAATATGATTTCCAGTAACCTTAGTTTTAAGTCAGAAGCCTAAATTTTCCCGTGATAATCTATGAGGACCTCCTAATTTTAAGTTCCTAAACCAGGGCAGGTCCTGTAAAACGCCCTTTTCATATGGCGACGCGTCATCGCTTCGTTCGGCTCAAAATCAACTCAACACGCCATCTTCCCGCTCAACACCGGAGTCAATGGGATTCCGGTGCGGGAAAACGCTGCGGGTCGATTCGAGCCGTATGGAAAGGGAGACATGGCAAATTATAGTATCACTAACTGGTCACTTTGACGAATTCGGAGGGGTCGAAGCCGCCGTGGACGAAGGTGGCGGTCATTCCCTTGCGGTCGAGGGTCCGGACGCGGACGAAGAGGAAAGCGGCGACAAGGCACGCAACGACTAGGATGGCCAGGAGCATGGATAGCCCGGCCACGAAACTGGACACACTTATACATATACTGTCGGCCTCCGTGGTCCGCGAGGAAACCACCACCGTCTCGTTGCTGGCGCTCCCTACCGGGTTCAGGGCGAAGTTCACGTCCCCGGGGGCGACCACTTGAATAGTTCTACTAGTGTTTACATCAGTCATTTCTTGAGCTTCTCTCTTGTAGACGTGCGACACGACGATGGTGCGCACGATCTCCGGCGACCTCCGCCGCCTTGGACTACTGTCGACCGGGATCTCGACCGACCGTGGTCGACCTCCCAGAACGGCGAGGTTGCCCTCGTCGTCGACGGTTCCTTTCCGCTTGACAGTCGTGTAGGTGTTCTGGTGACCGGGTAGTGGTGGAGGAGGTAGGTGAATGTCGTTGGCTTCGTTGATGCTATTGCTGGGCGAAGTCTTCTGCGTGGAGAACGTGGCGGGTGTCGTTCCGTTGCCATTGTTGTTGCCGTTACCATTGTTGTTGCCGTTGTTGTTGCTGTTTCCGTTTCCGCTCGGGGGTGGCACGACTTCGGACTTCTGCTCGGAGTAAGCGCCGGTGGGCCCTGAGGGATGCCTGGGGTCCGGGAAGCCAAGACCGCCGTAGTCGGGTACTCCGTATTCTTGGTGTGGCACGCCTTGAGGTGGAGGAGGAGGTGGTCCGTACTCTCCACCGCCGATGCCGCCGAGCTGGGGTCCGGCGTAGTCGCCGCCGCAGTGGGGTTCAGGGCAGTTGTAGCGACACACCTGGATGACACACTGGAAGTGGACGTTCATGGAGTCGGGGAACTTGAAGGCTTGGAAGTAGGCGAAGGAGACGACGGAGGCGGAAGGCCCGAAGTTCTTGATCTTCTGGAACTTGGACATGATCTTGTGTCGGATGACGCAGCCGTGCTGGTCGACGAGCTGGATGGGGGCGCGTTTCCCGTCGTGGGCGACGCAGTTGCGGACGAGCATGTCGAACTTGTTCTCGTCGTCCTTGATGGCGAGGACCATGGTCATGGTCTGGCCGATCTTCACGATGCCGGACACTTCCGAGGCCCAGGGTCCCTTGCCGACTTGGATCTGCATCCAGCACTGCAGGTTGTCTCCGAGGAAGTTGGCGGTGACGGCGTGGAGCATGTCGACCTGAAAGGGCCGAAACGTCACGGCCTTCTCGTAGAAGTCGTACCAGGTGCAGCGGAGCTTCCGGGCCTGGTCCCAGACCTCTTGGACGTACGGGTCGTACTGGATGATGATGGTGTTCTCGACGTAGCTGCCGCTAGGCGTCGTGTAGCCGCCGTGAGCGTTGTGGTTGGCCGACGAGGACATGCCGCAGCTGTTCAAGAAGATCTCGAACGTTGCGCTCAAGTGTCCGGTGCCTGGTTTCAGGTGCACGCAGTGAGGATCGCTGTAGAATCCTGAAACAAACGGAAAATAACCGATTAAGAATACATTGCCGGAAATTTCTTGGATTTCAACATCAAAATTTTTAAAACATTTTTTTACTTCTATGGACTTCCATTCAGTATATGAGGACTTATCTGTAACAATGGCGGATGTGAAAAATTGCCTTTTTGAAACACGCTCAAAAAGTTGTTTCGGCATCGAGAAAATCTTGAGAAAATACTTGTGATGTGATCTTCGAGATCTGTACATTACGCCAAAGGCAAACATATTAAATTGTTGTGTGACCAAAACAGTTGTTCAAGCGTGTTTCAAAAAGGTAATTTTTTACATCCGCTATTGTTACAGATAAGGCCTCATATACACAAACATCTCTCTGCAAACGTATCAGGGGGGAGGTTTTTTTTTTCAAAGGAGTTAAATAACATCTCGAGTACCAATCAGCAAAAATATTGAATGAAACGAAGTGAGGATTCCTACATTTTGGTGCGGTATGCGATTTGAGGCTTAAAAAACGTTGAAAGGGAAACAAATACTCAAATCACCGCCGATGCAATTTTGAGGGAACAATTATAATTACAGTTTTTAAAAATAAATAGACCATAAGGTCATTGACTCCCATCTTAATTTAATTAGCGCTGTAGCAGTGTAGCATCTTGAGCAGATGACTCTTTTTTATTTTATTTTTAATGATGAGATCCTTGCGTTATCGAATTTTTAAATTAAGGAGTTAACGTCACACATGTTCACACATTCAGAGTGTGTTCATAATTTCATACAATTTGCCTAGAAATGAATATTCCAGTGTTTTTACGTACACTTTCTCTGCTGACTCGATGATTCTCCCTCGAGAAAAAAAAGAAACCCTTACAATAATTACAATATTAGAAAATGAAATTGAATATACTCTTATACAATTATTTTGCTCTCGGGAATAAAACCGTCATTTGGAAGCCATGATGTTCCCGAGGAAACATGTATCAAGATCGTCCATGCTTCCATGAAATGGATTGCATTTTGCAAACAGGAACCACTAGCATTGCAATGATGCTAAGATTGTGCAACTTCATCTTTTGCAATAAAATTGCGGAAATCGTGAAAAACCATGAAATTTAGATGGTAATTTTTGTCTTAAATTCACAATTTTTAGAGAGTAAAATAGAAACTATTAATGGATAATCGGGTTTTTCCTCCAAGACAAAAGAAGTTGCACAATCTTAGCAACATTGCAATGCTAGTGGTTCCTTTTTGCAAAACGCAATCCAAATGTTCTTCTGATCCGATTCTCAGGCGAGCGTTCCTTGCGAACGAAAGTCGAGCCCCTAACAACGTTTTGACACCTGACCGATCTCTCCGACGCGCAACACTTTTCACCAAATTATCCTGATTTAAAGAAGAAAACTTTCGATTTACTTTTACTTATTCTATTAATGAGGGGAGGAGGCAGAGCTTGGATTGCAGCTCGAGTAATTGTTATGAAAGTTAATGCAACCCTCATTTGAGCCGCGCTGCGAAAAATGTTGAGTCACGATGAAACCCACGGGCCACTCAACAGGAGTTTCTATCGGGATATTGACTGCCGGCCGGTGATCTATGAGCCATTTCGCATCCAATAATCCCAGCATGGAGGCGTGCAGCACAACTCCGCCGTGCTAAGCAAAAATGCCGTATGAGCATTCGCGTGTTGCCAAATTCCCTCCAAGGTAGATTTACACAGGTATGGAAAAGTTGAAAATTTCCCATGAGCCTCAGTACGTGTCACATGACCTCGTGACGTAGGTTAAGGGGCCCGTTTTTTAATTAAATTACAATCAAATTAACATTCAAACGTTTGTGCGTTTAAACGCTAAAATTAATATCGTATAACCGAAATTGTGCAAAAAATCCCACAAAATTTTGACAAACGATAAACCGAACATAATAAATCAAAATAATCAAAACATACAAAATGGCTGACGTTAAGGGGCCGCTGGAGAGCCAATCAGAGGCCAGTTGTTTAGTTCTGTCCATACCTGTGTAAATCTACCTTGAATTCCCTCTTAGAGAACGTTAAAGTTTGAGAAAAGTTATGTATATTTTTCCTTGAAATTTCAGGCTCTTTAGATCAAATTACAAACGAGATCCTCAGAAAAATCGGAAAAGAAATATTCACGAATTTTCCTAAAAATTCGTGATTTATCGGAGGATATTTGGCAACACCTGATGGTTCATACGACGTTCTTGCTTACTGCTGCTCACTGCATCGTCCTCGGGTCCGAATGCTCTGCCGCACACGGCATTTTCGCTCTTAATGCTATTCCGGATCTTCTCACGCGAAAGTCGATTTAGTATACTTTATTGGACGTTTGATTACACTTATATTTGGTGTGCAAGGATTCTTCTCCGATCTCTCGTCATCAATTTTTACGCTCTCCTTGGAAATTGTTTTTATTTAGGCTCGTTTGAACGCCTCTGGTTTTACGCGTAGGTATTCAAGTGGAAGTCTCTGCCTTTGAGCAAAAAACAATGAGGCGTGATTATTTGCTGGATACCATGTGTTAACTCTAATTGATCTATATTTTGAAAATTAAGGGCTAAAATTTCTAGTTCATTCGTAAAAACACTTCCGTGCACAGGAAAAATAATGGCACATACGTCGTTTCTGAACTGAGCCAGAAATTGTAGTTCCTATTTTCAAAGTGTGATCTAATTTATGGGACGAACCTTCAAAGAAATGAAAATGTTTGAGACTCAGAGATCCTTTGGTTTACATTTTGCCATGAGGAACCACTGTCTCTGGTTCTTCATAAAAGCACTTTTCTGCATGGAGAACCAATAACTTATAGGTTTTTTCTAAGAAGAGTCAGAAATAGTGGTTCTTTATTGCAAAATGTGGCCCCTTAACCCTTATCCGTCGTTACCGTAAAAAATGTATTGAAAAGGCTACTGAAAAAAAAAAAAAATCCCCCTTAAACCTTGCTGCTAAAATTTTTGAACGTGTAAAGATAATTCTCAAACAATTTTAAAAAAAGGAAAACACGAGTGAAGATCTGTGCCATCGTAGTCGAAAAAAAGCATGTTTTTACTTTTAACATCATCGATATTGATCTGATTCCTGATCGATGCCTAAGTATTGACCTTAAAATTTGCTTAAAATCTATGCCATCTATTTGAAAATGAGCATTTTTTTACCCTCAACCATCGATATTCCCGATTTCTTATCGATATCGATGCCTAAGTTTTGACCTTAAAATTTGCTTAAAATCTATGCCACCTATTTGAAAATAAACATTTTTTCACCTTTAACCATCGATATTCCCGATTTCTTATCGGTATCGATGCCCAAGTTTTGACCTTAAAACCCGCTCGTCTCAAAGTTAATCATACCGCGAACTTTCTCTCGGAGGCCATGCGTTACAGAATGCTAACTAACCTGAAAACCCTCCTCTTTGTCGAGCGCATCCAAAAGGGATGAGCACAGACAGGTTTGCTTGAGGAAAAGTACACATCTCACGACCGTGCTTTTTTTCACTATTTTTTTTTCTTTTTACTTTAGCATGAAGTGAGGTGAGCCGTGGCATCCAAGAGCAGGCCGAAGCTGATCAAATGCCCGGGCTAGGCTCGACCGGCCGCACTTTCTCCTCATTCTTATTTAAGCACGAATCCGCACGCTGCGCCGCACAGTGGACCCAGTCAATCAGAGACGTCTCACATGGAACTTTGGATTAAAACTGCAAATTCTGATAATTATTTCGTCACATTTTAAATTTTAAGGAATATTGAAGGAAACCAATGATACTGTCAAAGGCAGTTAGTCAAATTAGGCATTGTATCAAATGCCTAGGCCGGTAGTCAAATTTTGACAGTTTACGGAATTCTGTAAATTTATGGCGAGGAGTTCACGGGTTTTCAATATTTTGGGAAGAATAACTCTTCAAATCCGTGAAAATTCCTTGCTCCTTTCTTTTTACATGCCTTTAGTACATTTAAATGTCAAAATTTTAATAATTCTATGTTTTATGACGTGCTTAAAATTTTATGATAAATGTGCATTCACGATTTTAAAAGCGTTTAAAATACTATTGTATGCTGCAATTTTTTATAGAAAATTCTTCCTTACATGGACAACGAATTATTTTGTCTAAAATTAGGGTACTTTTAGTGTTACTTTTACTTACTTTTCTTTACCTCTCGAGAATTATCTTTTTACTTACTTTTTACTAACTTTACTTTTACTTTTACTTATTTTACTTTTTATCATTAGTACTTTTGTCTAAAAAATCAAAATTTCAATCTGAGTAAGAATATTTGACTATCAGCCCAGGCATTTAACAAAATGCCTGATTTGACAATTTTCCTTCGACAGAACCACTTTTAATACCCAAAAGTTTTGTATGAACGGAATTTTGAGCTTTTACACACATACATAAAAGTCACTTTACAGCACTCCCTCGCGCTCTACGACTCCTAACCTCCACTGCTCTCAACTCACTGTTTTGAGCTTTTAAAGTTTCCAAATTTTGTCCGACCTCTCCAATTGACTCGGTCGACTGTGCGGCGCGGCGCCGGAGCTGAGCATCCACTCGCGAGTGACCCTAATACCCATTGAGATCCATTCAATATTTGTACGGTAATAGAAGCCCACGCTCAACGTGAGCCGCTCATCGAATTCCCACGATTAATTCGGCTCTCGTCTCGACGGATCCAGTTTATTTGCCGATCAATCATTTCACCCCAACAGCCACTCATCGCCCGCCGTCCATCGTGATCGCCCACACGTTTTTTGGGCGCTGTTGCTGTTTTTTGCCTGAATTTCGCTCTCGTTTAATTGCATCCGAAGGGAGAACTCGGGAATAGCTCGGAAATCCGGCAACGTTGCATCGAAGTTCAGGTGCCTGCCATCTAGATCAATTTTAAATTTATGTGTAGTGCAATTAAAGGTGAAAATATTTGAAATTTGCCCCCGATACATCGAATTTTATGGGATAATTTGAGAATATCCCAGAATTGTGGCAGCATTGCCTTGAGGCTCAGGTGCATCTAGATCATTTTATTAGGTGTGGTGCAATTAACTGTGAAAATAAGGCCCCAATACATCGAATTTTATAGGGTAATTTGAGAATATCTTAGAATCGTGGCAGCGTTGCCTTGACGTTCAGGTGTATCTCGATCATTTTTTTAGGTGCGGTGCAATTAACTGTAAAAATAAGGAAAGATGTGCCCGTAATACATCGATTTTTTATAGGATAACTCGAGACTATCCCGCGAAACTGGCAACGATGCCTAAAGATTCAGGTGCCTGCCATGTAGATCATTTTGAAATCCAAGCGTGGTGCAATTATTATTAAATGTAAAAATAAGTAAAATTTGGTCGCAATACATCGAATTTTATGGGATAATTCGAGAATATCCCGGAATCGCGGCAGCATTGCCTCATTTTTCAGGTGCATCTAGATCATTTTTTTAGGTGTGGCGCAATTAACTGTAAAAATACGGGAAAATCTGCCCGTAATATTATATCGAATTTTTAGGAGATAACTCGAGAATACCCCACAAAACTGGCAACGATGCCTCTAGACGCTCAAATGCTCGCGATCTACATCATTTCTCTTCTTTTTCTCTCACTGCACGTCAGAATACAAAATTATGCGTGGTGCAATGAAAGGTGGTTGTGAATAATGACGCAAGTGTCGGGAGCTCATGAGTTTTCGAGCTGGTGAATTATATTAATCATTTTTTCCAATTAGTTCAGAAAGTTCCGGTGTAACGATCAATTATCGAATTCAGATTACATAGTCTGGTAATATTGATTGGAATTTTAATGGCACTGCTTTTTATTCGAAAAAATTAGTGTACTTTTCTACTCCTGCGTTAAAGTCTCCAAAGAGTCAATCATTGAATATCAATCTGCAACGCCTCTAGCCGATTCATAACTTTCGAAAATGTCTTTATAGATCTAAAATTCTGTAATGAAGTAACCAAGGTTCAAATCGACCCTCACTCGCGCTTTTAAGCAGCTTAAAATTGCTCACCTTTAGAGAAAATCATGCCATAGAATGGCCGATCGAACTCGATGTTGACTCGCATGTGAGTTTTCTCACACTGCACTTGAAGATGTTTGATTTGAGGCTGGTCCGGCGTGGCTAGCGGCCAGGGATCATCTGGGCCAGGCCCTATCCCATTCCCTGAAGGGAGGGGCCCCGGTCCTGGGGGCAGAGGGGGCCCATAGATCCCTCTGTGTTCCAAGGGTAGTGCTGCAGCATCTAGGAGTGGCGCATCGCTGGTCACACTCTGAAAACAAACACTGCACATTAAAACGGGACTTCAGTAGTAATATTGAAGATACACGATCAAAGATGGAGAAGGATACTTCTCTAGTCGCAGTCACCACCAAGAAAAATTTCATCTCAACGATAGCATCATCGAAAACAAATAGGGAATAATATCCGCCCTTCATCCCCTATCAAAGACAATTAATTGTTCTCTCCTTCAATTTCACGGAAAAAAGGGTGGGGGCTAAGTCCAAACTTGAACATTTCCGATGATCTGGGGTAGTACCCCAATTAATTGCGATAGTTACCCGATAAATTAGTGGGTGTTAACCCAAAATTTGTGATACTACCAAACGTAATCAGAAATGTCCTTATCGTCCAACAAATTGAGGTAGTACCACAATTTTAAGGGATGGCCCCTGACACTTTTTTCCGTGTTTGACACTCAAACGGTTAATTACGTAGATCAGACGATTTATTTACTTTCTCAGAATGTGAGACGTCACGTTTGCTTGTGGGAATTCCTTGCCCCAGCAGATTTGACGCTGACGCTGACTTTACATGCAGATTTTATTTTCACGTATCAACGAAGAATCACAGCTTTAATGTCAACGGTCCCTCACGAAAGTGAAAATACTTGAAGTAGTTCACTAGCTCAACATGACAAAGGTCATGCCCGAAATCCGTCCGCAAGTCAGGATGTTTCAAGCTTTGTTGCCGTATAATACACAAAAACCGGAAAATGCTTTTGAATTCCGATGGCTGAAGCTACACTTTGCGTGAAATTCAGCAACAATGAGCCAGAAGCTTTGCGTGTCACACACGTAAGCGTGCATTTCGAGTCCGCGCGGAGCTCCAAGAGGATAATTATTGCACAATATGTTGCCGGAAGAGGAAGCGCTCGACACAAAGAGCATAAGAGTGTATGAGTAATATACGAGCACATCATTGAGATTCGGCATCAAAGCTCGGGACACGGAGAGTCACCGGTAGAATGCGTGGAAATCTCTAAGTGCATGCACCGACCGTTTTTAACTGCCGAATACGAATGGTAATGCAGTTCATTTCAGCTGCGCCGAATCTGGGACTCCGTTACATTGTTGCCACAAGGGGTTGAGTTGGAAAATTCGACATTATTGATTATGAAGGCTTCGTCGAACTGAAATGGCGAGGAATCACCGGATTTTATTTCTTGCATTAAATTTTATTTCATGTTTTAACTCTAATTTAAGAAACTAGTCTTAAGTTTTGGGGCTTCTACCATGTGTAAGATGAGGGTGCGTTAAAAATTGGAAATAGATAAACAGGAAAAGGCGCAGAAAGTGAAACAGAGAGAGATAGCAGAAACATGAAGAAGTGAAAAATAGGAGGAAAATGGAAGAAGGGATGGAAGAAAGGAAGGTGAGGAGGAGAGGAGGAAATGAATGAAGAAGAGAGATGTGAAGGAGTTGAGAGAGTGAAGAAGAAGAAGAGTAGTATGATGAGAAGGGTGAAGAAAAGAATAAGGAGAGGTAGGAAGGAAAAAGAAGAAAATGAAGAAGAAAAAATAGAGGAGGACTACAACGAAGAAGAAGAAGAAGAGGAAGAAGATGAAGAAGAATACTGAAAAGCAATAGAAGAGAAATATAACGAAGCGGAAAAAGAAAAATGTCCAAAAAAGGAGGGGGACAACGATGAAAAAGAAATAGAATAGAAGTGATTGAATGAGGAAGGAGTAAAAGAAGGAGAAAAAGGAAAATGCCTTGTGACGACTTGTCAGCTTCCAAGTGTCGCTTAGACTGTGCAACTTTTTTTCCAGTTTGCCACCAAACACTATAAGAATCCTGTCAAAATTCTCACCCTAAAAATCTGATATAATTTTTCCGTTTATATTTCAGGCATGTGTACTTGATTTATTTGCTACAAATCATGTGCAAGTTGCACAATTGGATCAGCATTGGAAAGCTCATACGATGTCTCTTGGAGGAATGGATCCATTCATAGCGGCCTCCTCTCTCGGAACCTCTGATTTCTGTTCCGAAACCCTGGTTTTTCTTGGGTGTGTCCGGCCCCGGCGATCTCTTTCCTACCGGATTGGGAGACTGATTTTCCATTCCTGGATTTTTCCATATAAATTTTAGGTATCTGTACTCGATTAGTTTGCTACACATCATTTACGAAGTCGCGCAATTTGAGCAGCATTGGAAAGCTCATACGATGTCTCTTCGAGGAATGAATCCATTCGTGGCGGCCTCTTCTCTCGGAACCTCTGATTTCTGTTCCGAAACCCTGGTTTTTCTTGGGTGTGTCCGGCCCCGGCGATCTCTTTTCTACCGGATTGGGAAACTGGATACGGGTGACTCGGGCATACGCGGCTGAGCCACCGGCCACCGGGTGACTGAGTGAGAGCGAGTGTGATGTAGGGGCTTTCACTCGGAGGCATGCACCCGGCCGCCCGTCCCCGTCCCCGTCCGGCCGCGGCCGACCGTGCCAGACCCGGAGTGGATGCTCCATGTTGATGCTCGGCCGGAGCACGCCCGGTAAGTTTTTGAGAGTTGTAATTAGAACGGTCCGACTGACGAATTTGACTGCCGAGCCTGGACGCTTGCCGCTTGCATCCCGCGCGAAGCACTCCGTTGTCGGCTTGCCGCCATGGCCATAATTACTGGATTCAGAATTTCCCAGACAAAGGGATGCGAGGGCTAGAGTATCTACATACGGAGAGTGCGGACATGTGGGTAATTTTGTGGTGAAGTCATGGAGCTTTAAGGGCCCGAGAGGCGTTTTCGTCCAACGACCTATATCTTGGTAGGCTGACAGACGTTTCTCGTCGTCTCCCGAACAAATTGACTAACTTCATTCCAAGGTTACAAAATTAAGACATAATAGAATTCAATTTCATGAGAATGTTCCCGCGCAATTTTTATTGCAGCTTCTTCTAATTTTTGCAGAAAATATCGATCAAATTTTCAGTTAGAAATTCCCGAGATTCTCCTGGTAAAAATACAATTTGCGCGGGGAAATTTGGCAACATTAAAATTTAGTTTCTTTCTTTCGTGAAGGAAACTATATTTTGTCTCGTTTCGGTCCCTTTTTCTCGTTTTGGGTTCTCCTTTTTCCTAATCCTCTCTTCTCTCTTCTACTCTTTCCCTCTCCCATTTTCCCTCTGTTCTTCCCTTTTCCCGCTCTTTTTACCTTTACCTTATCCTTTCTTCCATCTTAAACTCCCCCCTTCCTCTTTTCCTCTGTCCTTCCTTTCCCCACACTTTTTTTTATCAAACTATTTCGTAAATATTTTATTTTTTATTTTTTTAACTGTTTGTGACCGATTCGAGCTGAAACCAAAGGGGCTGAAACGGGATGGGTGAAAGGCAAGTTGGGCAACATGGAAGGAGGAAGGCGGAATAAGGGACACATTTATTAGCCCGGTCGGGCGAGTGGCAGGCGGGTTGAGCCTCGGAATTAGATTCGTTTCGCACTTGGAATATGCGGCGGCGGTGGCGAGACGCGCGAGTGAGACGCGCGAGTGGCGCGAGGGCACGCCACTCCTCCTCTCACCAGCATGCATCAGCTCGCCTATGATAAATTGGACTCCAGAGCCAACCTGGATAGGCTTTTTAAGGTGTTTCACACTCTCCTGACCTTCATTCTCGGCTCCGTCATCTCATGTCCCGGGGTGTTCCAAAGATCAAAGCTCACCCGAAAAATTGAGTTTCTCGATTTTTTATTCGCGCCGTTTCGTTTGTGAACATGCATCGGACGCAGCTCGAATGGAACGAGTTTCTAACTCGAATTTAATGGAGTCAGATGTTGGGTGTTTGAGCGTTGGTCAGATGGGGGCCTATCGGAAATCCAAAGAATATAACAAAGAAACAGGAAAGGTAGAAGAAGAAGAAGAAGAAGAAGAAGAAGAAGAGGAAGGAGAAAGAAATAGAAAACAAGAGGAGAAGGTAGAAAACATGAAGGAAGAAGATGATGAAGAGGAATAAGAAGAAGGAGAAGAGTAGGAAGACTTTCTGAATAAAAGAAAATTAAAACATTGTTATTCTTCGTCTTTTTTCTCATCTTCATCCTCTTCCATATTTTTCAGCTTTCTGCCTTATTCTTCCATCCTCTTCCTACCCATTCATTTTCTCAATTTTCTCTATGCATCTTTTTCTCCTTTCTTTTCCGCCTCTTCTTATTCCTATAGTTCATCGTCTCCTCTTTCTCCTTCTTCTACCTCTTCTTCTATGTCTTCTGATTTCAAATGCAGCGGATATCTCTCAGCTGTCATCCGATATACATTAGGAGTTTTAAGTTATTGCACAAAAAAAACACTCCATACGACCTTATTGCATCGCATTATAGCAATACTCGAATTTATAAGATCTAAGTCTGTCGGTCTGAGGTTAGAAGATAAGGAGCAGAGTTTTTTGGCAAATAAAAAGAGTGCTCATTGGTTCCTTTGAAGAAATTGGAATTTGAATTGTTCCTTGAACATTTTCAAGAGTAAATTAGATAATAAATGCACTTTGAGCCCAATGGTTTGGAATTACATTGATGAGGTGAACTTTCACTGATTTTTTCCATTCATTTGAGCAACGTCATTCAATCCTGGGTTTCAATTTAAACGAGATCTCAATATAATCTTAGGATAATCCAAATAAAAAACGAAGGAAGCGCAGAAAAGGAGAGATAATGTAATAAGGAGAAATGACAGGTTTCTAATTTGAATATGTTCAAAGGAAGACTTTGTTGAAGTAAATTAGCTGAATCGGTTCCGTAAGTTGTTCCAACTTCTTTTCAGGCTTCCAATTTGCATTGCAAAGAGCAAAAAACTCCTGCTGAAGGCAAGTTATCACTCGCGGTAATTTGCGTTCACCGTTGACGGTTAAAAAACCACTTTTACTTTTAACTTTCATCCGTTTTCCTCACGTGCATTTAATTTTGTGTTGGCTAAAGGATTTACCGTGCGAAAATTGCCAATAGCAAATTTTTAAGATGATCCTCAAACTTGTTACTTTTGTGAAGATCAGAACAATTAACTAGACCCTTACC